ATCCTGATTTGGCATCTGTGCCAGCAGGACCTCAGTACTCCGAGGCTGGCGGAGGGTCACCACATCCTTCACTCCTCACACAGCCAGGGTTCTGGCACCATGCCTCTGCAGTGCCTCCCCAGCTTTCCTGCTGCCCTGCCAGGGACCAGTCTTACCTGGGAAGTCTGCAGAAGGGTAGGGGTCTTTGATTTCATTGACACTGGATTCAAATTCGTCCACTTTTAACTGAAACAAGGGAGAGACAGAGAGCAGGCAGCTGTGTGTGCCAGCATTGCTGCCAAATGTTGCATGTTGTCCAGACCCTATCATCTTGGAAGCCATGTGAGGCAAGCAGTGTCTCTGTATTTGGCCCATACTGCACCAAACACATGGAGTCTTGGCCCACGATGGAGTAGGGTGAGGGGAAACACCTCAGGGATGCTGCAACTGAGCAAAGAGCAAAACAAAGAGGACGGGACAAGTGAATGTGTGCTGGGAACGAGCCTAGGGCCATGCACCCATATCATGGGTGGAATAAGACATGAGGCGACTCCTGGGGGAGCTCCCATGGGGCGTCTCTGGAAAGTGTATAGAGAAGTATCTGCTGGCCAGATGGTTTTAAGAGGCAGCTTGGCATGCAGTCAGCACAGCTGAATAGAGGGGTTTGCATACAGGGGGTGCTTGTGTGGACATAAAAGAAGTTTTGGGATGATGCTGACCTGCTCTGCTCCTCTCCACACTGGTGTGTACCAGCCCATCTCAATGACTGATAACCGGCTGTGGCCAATGAAATGAATCAGAGGAAAAGGATCCTCAGCAATGGACCTGTTTCACCAGGCAACATGTCCTGCCTGCACCCACAGAGCCCTCATCACCAGAGAACTCTAAGGCGAGGAGCGATTCTGGCCCAGAAGAGTCCAGATCTAGGCTGGCTCCAAGCCTTTGTCAGTCCTGGCTGTTGGGAAGAGAAGCCTGGTCCCTCACCAGGAGCTCCCCAAGGAGCTCCACTCAGCCCTACCAGTACTGACCTTGGCTGTCGTGGGAATCCCTTCTCCCTTTGCTTTCTGCTCAAGCTTCTTTGCCAGTATCTGCTTCTCATCTTCAGACTTCTCCGGGTAACCTCTGAGCAGAGAGGAGGGGAGAGTAGGAACTGAACACTGTGCAAGGGCATGGATGATGCTGTTCTGTCCCCTCGCATCAAAGCACCTCGTTTGGGAGCTCTCACTACCAACGACTGAAGCACTGACCTGGACATCTTCCGTCGCTTGCGCTCCTCTGCTTTGGCCTTCTGGGCTAAGGTCAGGCTCTCAGCCTCGGCCAAGTTATCAACTGCGATGGCCAGGAAGACATTGAGAAGAATATCTGGAGGGACAATGCTGAGGACACAAACTTGGTTCCTGTTTGGAGGATGTGGCCAGAGCTGTCCACAGTCTCCAGGGTGCCCCGAGAAACCTTTCTGGAGTTGAGCCCTTGAGATAACTCTGGCTGGTGATCCCTAACCCTAACCTATCCTTGTGAGTACTGAGCTCTGGGCTGGCTGCCCTCTCTCTGCCTTAGCTCAGTCTGTCCATCTCAGTCTTGTTACTGCATTGACTGCTGGCTGAATCTATGCCTGCTGGTCATCCAAACTCACCTGTGGTGTGCTCTCCTCCAGACTCCAGACCCCAGCCACCACCAATGCAAGCCCTGAAGCCTGTGATTTGTCCCCCTGCTGTTCAGAACTGAAAAGCTTAAGGAAGCCCCCCATTCCCCAGCTTCACAGTCCTGTGTAGCTGATGTTAGGGGGCTGGGTATAGGGAGCCTGGGTCTGGCTTCGCAAGCAGAGGATACAGTTCCCACAAACGAAAAGGATGATGAAGTAGATGCAGACCAGCATGCCAGGAAAGGATGGGCCTCCGTAGGCCATGATCCCATCGTACATGATTGAATTCCAGTCCTCTCCGGTCAGGATCTGGGAGCAGAGCAGAAACAGAGACTCAAAAGCCCCCACAGCAGAGCATGGCAGCTCAATCCTGCCCTCCTGGCTCCAGCCCCAAACCTTCACAGCCCCTAAAACACCACAGCCAAACCCCACCTTCTTACTCAGCCCTGAACCTGCACTATTGCTTGTGACCCCAATCTCATTTCTCTGCTCCTGCCTCAACGCCACATAACCTCCCACAAATTCACATCTCACATCTGGTGAAGTTCCCAATGACTGGAAAAG